TGGCGACCCCCAGGGGGAGAGCCTTCTCTGTGGCAGCTCCTGCCCTCTGGAATGACCTACCCCCCGACCTACGTACAGTTGCGGACCTGCGCCTTTTTCGCCGAGCCCTGAAGGCCCATCTATTCCGTGCGGCCGGCCTGGCGTAGTTTGATTATGTTTTAGTGGGGGGTTTTGTATGGGTGTGTTTTTAGAACAGGCCTGTTATTTAATTTGATTTTAGAACAGAAACTATTTATTTATCCGTGGTTTTTAGTATCGCCTGTTCACCGCCCTGAGTCCCGCAAGGGAGATAGGGCGGTATATAAATTTAATAAATAAATAAATAAAATAAATAAATAAACTTCAAGCAGTGTTTCTCAACCTTGACCATTTTAAGGCATGTGGACTTCAACTCCCAGAATTCCACAGCCAGCAATGCTGGCTGTGGAATTCTGGGAGTTGAAGTCCACATGCCTTAAAATGGTCAAGGTTGAGAAACACTGGGCTAAAGCTTCCCTTCTTACAGAGCCTGAGCAACCGCAAGTGGATAATGCGAGCTGCTGATGCCTTGTTTTCCTGTAGATACGGCAGAGCTCGAAGCGGCACGAGCAATTTCATCGATCGTGAAATGGGAACCCAGGGAAACAACGCGACACCAAATTCTTACGAGCTGAACTGACCCTTGTGTGATTGTTACCTGAGCTGCCCCTTCTGTGGTTGTTACGTCCCGGAGATAAGCTCCGCCCCGTGAGCCAGATTTTCCCGACCTCTCGACGCTTTTACGACGCTATCACCCCCACTCCACCCCCCGCGAATGGCCCTCGGTCCTTATGTCACGCCCGAGCAACTACCAGCCCACCGTGGAAAGAGAGATGGAGACATGCGGCCTTGGGTTCCAGAGCGGCCGGGGTGCCGAATAAAAAGCTGGGCGGCATAAGCGCTTTGTCCACACGCTTCCTCTTAGGGGCGATGGAGGCGGCGGCGGCGGCGGTAGTCGCGAGCAGCTCGCTGTGCTTCGGAGCTTTCTGGCAGCGCATCTCCGGCCCGCAAGAAGAGCGGCTGCTGAAGCAGATGAGCTGCGCGCTGGTGGGCTTCATAAGTTTGGCAGCGTTGTTCATCCTCCACCGGACCGGGGCACCATACGGCCGCTACGCTTCAGCCTCTTACGGCTACCCTGTTCCTGCCACCCTGGCCTGGATGGTGCAAGAAGCGCCTTCCTTTCTGTTCCCTGCAATGCTCGCACTGTGCAGCGACGGCGCCCGTCTCAGCTTCTGGCCCAACCGATTTCTGCTGGGACTCTTCCTCATCCACTACTTCTACAGGTCGGCTGGAAAGGGGAGCGGGGAGCTCTCTCTCTCTCTCTCTCTCTCTCTCTCTCTCTCTCTCTTTCTTTCTTTCTCTTTTTCTCTCTCTCCTTCCTTCCCTCCCTCTCTTCCTTCCCCCCCTCCACCTCCCCTATTTCACTGATAAAGCAGCTCTGGGCAACTGGAAGAGGCAGAGGGCTGGCCATCCTACAGCAGTGGTTCTCAACCTTTTTAATGCCGCGACCCCAACCGGTCGTAAGTCGAGGACTAAACCGGTCGTAAGTCGAGGACTAAACCGGTCGTAAGTTGAGGACTACCCAACCGGTCATAAGTCGAGGACTTTCCCTGCCTGGGAGCACCGCGCATGCGTGGTTCCGCCCTCTGCACCCGCCGAGGCGTAGCTGGCAAGCGGCAGAGACGGAGCAGGCCGACCACCAGCTGGCCCAGCCCAAGGGAGGTAAGGCACCCGCCGGAAAAGGGGGGAAAAAATGGCGGACAGCCTTGCTTGGTGACCCCCATGAAATGGTCGATCGACCCCAAATGGGGTCCCGACCCACAGGTTGAGAACCACTGTCCTACAGGCTGAACAGATGCAAAAGGAAAGAGTCCTGGCATCTTCACCTTCAGACGTAGTTGAGGGCTGATTGGGAAGTCTCATGTACTGCGGGGTTGGCTTTCAAGTTTTCTGAGTTACTTCCTCAAGCTCTATTCTGTTAAGGAACAAAAGGGGGAGAAAAAGACATCCCCCCTTCCCCCAGGTGCATTTTGCTCTTCTAGAAGATGGTTAGGTGTAATTCTCTCCAGTGCTGGGTGAGGTGTGCTTTTTTTCAGTTGAAACAACTTAGTTCTGGAATAGTTCTCCGCACCTGGAACATGCAAGTAGCCTTGCTTACAGATTTTTATTCATTAGAAATTACCTTCCTTATCCTTTTTTATATCTTCACTAATATATTTGCAGCTGTAAATAATATTAGCAGCAGGTTTTCTTTGCTTGCTGACTCTTGCTAAACATCCAGTCAAATGAAGATTTCAAAAAAAATAAGAGATTGCTCTTTTTCTAACATTTATATTTACCGTATTTTCCGGCGTATAAGACGACTTTCTAAACCCTGAACATCTTCTCAAAAGTCGGGGGTCGTCTTATACGCCCAGTCGTCTTATACGCCGGAAAATACGGGTATTCAGGCAGGCTTCCAGAGTTTGGCTGACAGGATGCAGGTAACCCCTCCCCCCGTCCTGCCGCCTCCCGCCGCACCACGCCGCTCCGCGTCCCGCGCCTCCGTGTCTCAAGCCTCTGTGTTATGCTTGGGTGGAAGACTTTTTCTTTTACAGATGGGGCGGGTGGGCCTGACATTCGCGCGCAGGCAGGACCCCGCCCGCCGAGCCACCGCTTCCCCATCACCCTCCACGCCAGCCTGCTCCGTCTCCAGACCTCCCAGCTGACGGGGGCAGGTCCGGGGGTTGCCAGCTGACGGGCGCAGGAGTTCGGCGCTGCAGCGGCCTCCGCTTCGCCCTCCGCACCGGCCAAAGCGTTGCCTGACGTTCCGGCCGACGGGCGCAGGTCCGCGGGTCGCCAGCTGACGGGCGCAGGAGGTAGGCGCTGCCGCGGCCTCCCAGCCTCTTGCTTCTTCGCCTGGAGCAGTTGCAAGGGCTTGCATGGTCCCCAAGGGCCGCTGACGCGCTCCCCGCCGCCGCCGACCATGCAAGCCCTTGCAACTGCTCCAGGCG